CATAGAAGGAAGATGAGGGCTCATCTCTATGTATAAGCTATGTATTCTTCATTTCTTTTGACTTAGTGAATTACCCTCCCGTGAATGTAGATCCAGTTGGATCGAACCACGTAAACAATCTGTGTTTGATTGTGTTCTTTGCGTTTCATATTTATGTCAGAAAGTACATATCTCACAACAAAGTAGTTAGCCACAAAAGCTGTAATTGGTAGCTATAGCGATTAAAGTTAACAACATTTTAATTATTTGATCTAGACTTATTTAAACTTAGATTGGATCACTTTTGATATCATAAAGTTTGTCTTGTCAAAATGCTAGGTTTGAATATAAACTTGTTGAAATCGGGACCTGGACAATCTAAGTTTGAATTTAGAACGTTTCTTGCTCAAATGCATTAATATTTATGTATGATGATACAAATTTGTTGAGGTCACATCAACACGAGCAAATAAAAAATATAGCCCTTTCATCTCAGAAACCAAATTGGCACAATCCAAAGCTCCGCCACAGTTAAAATTTAAATGGATCATAATCGTAGATGCTTTTGGTTCTTTTTAACTTGGAGTCGCTAGCTTGTTCAACTATTATTTTATGATTTCTTTTTCCAAATAGCCCTCTTTCTTGAATCTTCGATTGGGAGAAGAGAATAGATCGGAAAATAAGGAAATAAAACAAAAAAATTTAATTAAAAAGAGACATGGAGAGCTTATGCAAGGTAATCTTCATATGATAGATCAAGAGTGTACGTTCAAAGAAGATCAGATCAAAACAACTTAACACTATATTCACAAAGAAGTCTCCCACATAAGCAACCCATATAACCAAAAAACTAAAATTATAAATTTTGTTTTGAGGTTAAGAGCAACTCCCAAAACCCTTTGGTTAATTACATCTTAAAAAATACCCAAAAATACTCTTGATTAAAGGAATTTTGCTTACATTATTTGATAACTAGTAAAAGCTCGTGCCAACAGGAGCGGAACCAAGCCTTGTTTTAGAGCGCAAATTTCTTATAAAAATAACTTAATTAAAATAAAAAATGACCCAAACATAAAGGAAAAAGAAAAACTTATCCCGATGAACACGAAGAACGTCAAGATTTTACATTGCTAGATATCTAAAATGATGAAGCATAACTTAATCTTTTAATTATTTAAATTATATTCTACAGATATTTTTATTTATACATATATTTTATAATAATTTATTTTAAAATATATAAAAATATAAATTAATTTTTTATTAATATTATAAAGCACTAAATAAGGGTGACTTAAAAAAAAACTAATATTAGTTATAACTAAAGATTATATAAATTAAATTAAATTACAAATATTCTACCCAATTCTTTTGTGTTTACGTATCTAATACTTAAATTTCAATCTTAAGATCTGCATTTTATCTATGCAAGAAAATGTGTATTTCAATTTCAAAAATTAAAATAATGTTATGATTAACTTGGGTGGTATAGATATAAAAAAAACTAGAGTTTAGGTGTTAAATATATAAATACATAGAAATTGGGTAGTATGTGTGCAAATGTCAGAAAACCTGTCCCACATTGGGAAATTTTAAATTGGTGTTGCTCCGTAAATTGAAAGAGATGGATAAATAAAAAAATGTCTGTTTTATGGGTGATAAAATTTTATGTGTGTGGAAGCTTTCAATTTAAAGTTATTATTTGATTTTAATTATATTTTTAAAAGTAAATTAAGATATATTTTATTTTTTTCTTAAATGAGGGTTAGATGTTACAGGCGGCTAGCAGAGGGGGGCAAATGATACTCTTGAGGGGAGGAAAAAATTTCTCACAAATATAAATAGAAATTATCAAAGTTAGGGGTGGCAATTGCCCCCCTCAATTACACCTAATTTCGCCCATGCATGTAAAGTCATAAGAGAAGAGAGTGAGTCACTCACAATCACATATGGGTGGCGATTAATCAGCAAATGAGGTCTATGAAATAATCAGATCATGTCAATAGGGTCCATACTATGCTTCAAGATCTAATTGAGCCATAAAGGCAAAGGGTGACTTATCGTATCTGAAACGAGCGGTCGCTTGTCGACATTTAGGACCTACGAGAAGACATCAACGAGGTACTAAAAAAATAGAAAGGGCTCAACGAGGGTATAGCAAGAAAAATCGGTTAGATGTTAGGAATTATTATGAAAATAATTTATTACCGTAAGAAATTATGAATAATAAATTATTTTCTAAGATTAAGTTAATATTTTATTTCCTATTTTATATTTATTTCCTTGGATTATTAATTATTTGTTTTTCTATTTTATGTTATTTCCTATATTTCCTAATAATTAATATGAATTGATTATTGAAGATATTGAGTGATATATCTTTCATTTCATATCATCTCTTTTTTATTATTTTTCCTATTATAAGATTATTGTAAGGGTTATTTATACCATCTTTCATATCAATGAAATAATCAAGTACTCCACTTTATTCCGCATTAGTCTGAATTTCAACATGATATCAGAGCAAGGTTTCATACCCCAGCCACCGGTCTTCCTTTGAGAATTGTCGGACTCCCTTTGTGTCATCCTTTGTGCGGGAAGAGAATGACACTCATCTTGGTATTCGAAACAACAATTTTTTCTCCTTCTCTCCCTGCAAGCTTTGTCTGTTGGCCGGCCCTTCCTGAACCGGAAGTCACGCGACCCACCTGTCTTGTTCTGCTCCTCCTCTGCTCCCTCTTCCCAATGCTGGCTTCTTCCACCGGCGCTGCCCGTCGCCGGCCTCTCTTCTTCCTCATCCCCTGGCGGCACGATGGTCGCGTCCCCATTACGCTTAATTCCCACTAACTTGCAGCTCAACGTGCAAAACTGGAAGGGATCGAGCAGGGATTCAGCGTAGATCTCGCACATGTGAGGGGATGCACCCTTACCACTAGGACATGGTTGGTGCTGCTCGTTGAGGAAGAGCGCTCTGGCGCTGTTGATCACATACGTCTGAACTCCCCCAATCTCTAGAACATTCTAGATCTCCGCCACACGAACCACAATGAGGTAAGACAACTGTCGTATCTAAATCTCGCGATGCCCGGCATGTCGCTTCGAGCGAAAATAGAGGCAGAATGCACCAGAGTTGGCGTCCCTGCACTTGAGACAGAACATGTTGCGTTCGTCGCGCGCGACGTCCTCATAAGTCGAACAAATCGAGAAGAAGGGGGTCATGAGCAGGGGCTCCAGCTAGGGTTGCACCAGCAATGCCGCCACCCGCCTCATCATCATCTCATCGGAGATATCACTGCCATCAATCTGATAATGCCGGCAAAATCTATCACCGACCCTTTCTCTGCAGTATTTTTTCTTCCTGCCCAAGTGTTAGGAGGAGCTATGTTTCCAGCCGCACTTTCTCCTGTTGTTTTCTCTGTTAGTAGAATTTGTTGGGTGTGATTTACTCTGTCTCTCTTGTGAAATTCCCAATTGGAGAGCCATCACCGATTGCTATCGATGTTCGGAGAGCCGGACTTTCTCTCTCCAGTGGCATCCTAACCGAAGAGTAGAAGTTCATCATTGGTGAGGCGAGATTGGATTTATCATTGAATGGAATCCCGACAGCAAACCTACATTCTCTTCTTCGTCGGTTTCATCCCTGCTGCCAAAACCTCCATCTATCTTCACTCTAGGCCGAAACACATGACAAACAAAACTCAAAATTCAACCAAGTCTGAACTTTAAGTCTTTCTATAGGCACTGCAGAAACTGCAGTCAAAAGACAATCACATTTGTCTACTTGCGTGCAAACTCCTCTGCATCTCTCTAAATCGAAACACATGGCAACAAAACTCAAAGTTCAGCCAAGTCTGAATTTTAAGTCTTCCTATAGGTCAAACTCCCCTACATCATTACTTGTAGGAGCTTTTAGTCTACCTACAGACACTGCATGAACTGCAGTCAAAGACAATCAAAGTTGTATACTTCCCTGAAAATTCCCTGCATCAGTACTAGTAGGAGTTTTCCGTCTATCTACAGACACTGCAGGAACTGCAATCACTAATGTCTACTTACCTGCAAACTCCCCTACAGCATTTTCTGCAGGAACCTTCCGCCTACCTGCAGACACTGCATTATCTGCAGCCAAAGTCAACCGCAGTACAGGATAAAGACTTCAACTTCTACTTCACAGAATTTTCGTCACCATTATTTGATGTTTTCAAATTCAAGTTAAACGTGGTTTTCAAACATGTTTCAACTTGAGGGGGAGTGTTAGGAATTACAATAGGAAATAATTTATTCCTGTAAAAAGTTATGAATAATAAATTATTTTCTTAGATTAAGAAAATATTTTCTTTCCTATTTTATATTTATTTGCTTGGATTATGAATTATTTTTTTTTTTATATTATACTATTTCATATATATCCTAATAATTAATATGAATTGATTATTGGAGATATTGAGCGATGTATCTTTTCTTTCATATCATTTTTTTTATTATTTTTTCCATTATAAGATTCTTGTAAGAGTTATTTATACCCCATTTTCATATCAATGAAATAATAAAGTACTTCACTTTATTCCGCATTATTCTGAATTTCAACAGATAGAGAGTCAATGGATCTATCATCCGAAGCTATTAGAACCTTAAGTTTATCTGGTCATGAAGATAGTCGACCCAACCATACCAGAGATATCTTATTAGCAATCCATGTATTGCATCATCAAGTAGACCTCAGTAGCGTTAAAGTCAGTCTCAGATTGTCAATTTCTCATTGTACGATTCTCTTTCTAAATAACTCTCTTTCTTGGATCGTGGAAACTATTCGTAGAAGAGCAAGGACAGGAAAAAGAGAACATTTGGAAATTTTGACAGCAGAGTTTTCAAATTGGACAGCATTACAGAATTTCGTTCCCATCCAAATTTGACGCAAAAAAAAAAACAAAAAATTAAAAGCATGGCATCCAACTTGCTCACGGAATCAATTCTTAACTTGAAGGAAATAACCAAAAGATCAAGAAATTTGCATTCCTTACTCTCTAAGTATAGCGACGGACTTGTCATTCCCATCGACGAGCACGACTCTGTCTCGCCCCTCAATCGCCCTCTTCTGCCCATCATCAAGAGCAAGCACAATCGGCACCGACATATTGACGAAAGATCCGTCCGGCATCCGGAGGCAATTGAAATGAAGTGTTTGGAGGAACTCGGCTTCCCTCATGAAGCCGCGGAGCGGGCTCGCCCAACCCTCGCTCAAAACATGAACCCACTCCAGGTCGATCCGCGATAGCTTGATCCGAGGAAGGCCGTACGCCGGCGCCGCCTCTCGGACTCGAGCCTCTCTCTGCGGCCCCGCCGGAGTAACCAGCTGTACCAGTTTCCCGCCGTCCGGATCGATGAGCTCGCACCGAACCCTAGCGCGGCCGGCAAGGTGCCGTCGAAGGTGGATTTCATCTGAAGCGGAGATATCCGGAGCTCGAGATTGGGGTAATTGGGGTTTAGGGCTAGGTAATTTAGCGAGGAGCGCCGCCATGTAAGCCATCGCCCGGCGGCAGGCGAGTGGGAAAACCAACTACCTTAAAATAACAGGTATTGGAATATAGTATCATGGGCGAATGAATATTTAAATTTATGTTAAAACGAATATTTTATATATTTACAATTGATTGATATGTTTATTTTAATTTAAATTTTGGATTTATATTTAATTTAAATTTATTTAAGATGTTATTTTTAAATTTTGGATGATTAAAATATTATATTTAATATTTAAGTGATTAATATGTAATAAAAATTTATATTATTTTTATGATAAAATAATTCGAAAACAAAACTTCGATAACAGTTATATAAATATATATGAGGATGGAGACGCCGCGTACTCTGATCAGTTGGTGCGACATTATATATATATACATATATATATATATTTATTGATGTTAACTATAAAATAAATAAGTAATATAAAATATTGAGAATGGAATCTCATAAAATTATTATTTTCTAGTGTTATGTCTTCTCATCATTCTCATCACCTCTGTTGCAACCAATCATTCGCCGCACACCATTATTAGTCCCCATCATTCACATTTGTTTTTCGTTGTCTCCTTCGTTTGACTTTTTTTTGAAAAAAATAAAAATAAAATTAGTCAATCACTCACCATTGATCATAGGCACCGACTACTCTCATCTTAGCTAGTGTTTTAGTGTAATTAATGTTACCATGCGGAGGCTTTTTGTGTTATGCATTTGATCACTTAGAATCTTCAATTTCGTCAATCAAGCTTAACAATGAGTTTAACGAGCGAGTGTTTTGTCCCAGTGGTAAAAATTATTTATTGTACCTTGCGCCGCAACGTCATATCAGTAGCCCCTTATCATTGTGTCATCAACGCCCTAGTGTTTGAAAGGAAAAAAAAGGGCATTGCAGTGCCCGATTTAAATTTAACAACTTGAGAGTCCAACACTGTGGTGCTTGGATGCGAAACCGAAGTGTAGTTGAAGTGCTGCAACACCGCTATCTCGCTGTCCAGACGGAGGCAATCGAATTTGAATCGTTCTTCGATCAAAGTTTGGTTTTGCCTACCGTAATGTATGTGATATCAATTTCTATTGTGCAAAAAAAGAGAAGGTATGTCCTGAAGTATTCCAATGTTCGGATAAGCTTTGATTATGTTGAAATTTTTATGAATCTCTCCATATTCTTCATGGTGGATTTCTTTGTATGGCGTGACTTTATGATTTCTTTTGCTCTGAATTTTTTTCTCGTTGAACCATGTGTTCTTTGTGTTTCTCGTGATTTTCTTGTCTTGCGCTCTTACATTCAAAATTTTACTTCCAATTTTCTGAATATATTTTTGTACATTATTCATCATCTCACCCAACAATTAAAATGAATTAAATTATTTTAAATGTAATATATTTGCTGTATATTGAATTGAGATTTGTAATAGTTGTTTTGCAATAAATGCAATGAAACTCAAAATATATTTGATAATATTATGAACCAACATTTATCAAAATATAATTTTTATTAAATAATGTGCGAAAGTTCGCAATAATATGAAAATGCTAGAGTGTAAATTGAATAATTTGTAAGTACTAGGGTGCTTTTATATACAATAAAAGAGAATAATATATACAATTTAATGAATAAAAAATATGTATTGAAACAATGAATACTATAGATTTATATTATAAGTATCAGACAAATATTCTAATACTTAAATTGCAATCAATAACATCAATGTTTCAAACGTATATAACTAGGACTCATAAATGAGATGCATAAAAAGTCAATTATGATAGAGATTATATATATATATATATATATTAAAAAAGAAATTGATATTTGGTACTCAAATATCGATTTCTCATGCGCATCAAAGCCTCATGACGAGAGCCTGGGCAATGTGCCTAACTATTCTAGAATCTCGTGCCACGGGGGATTGAACCCGTGACCTGAGGGGACTTACAGTGAACCGCGCCAACCAACAGGCCACGGCTTACGTGTAAATGTATATATATATATATATATATATATATATATATATATATAATGATATTTTTGTTGTGATGTAAAACTATCTAAGTGGTATTCACGTAAATAACAAATTATTGGTGCTGGAAACTTAAATAATATGTAAGTACTAGGGTGCTTTTATATACAATAAAAGAGAATAATATATACAATTTAATGAAAAAAAAATATGTATTAAAACAATGAATACTTTAGATTTATATTATAAGTATCAGACAAATATTCTAATACTTAAATTGCAATCAATAACATCAATGTTTCAAACCTATATAACTAGGACTCATAAAAAGTCGATTTTGATAGAGATATTATATATATATATTAAAAAGGAAATAGATATTTGACAAATGCTCAAATATCGATTTCTCATGCGCATCAAGGTCTCATAATGAGAGCCTGGGCAATGTGCCTAACTATTCTAGAATCTCATGCCACGGGGGATTGAACCCGTGACCTGAGGGGACCTACAGTGAACCGCGCCAACCAACCAACAGACCATTGCTTGCGGCGGGTGCGGGCGCACACTCACACACATATATATATATTAAAAAACCATACGATAAAAAGTGTTGGATTGGATTATTCTGACATTTAACACTTTAGCGTTATAGATCTATGACCGAAATATGTAATTAACTTTTAAGAAATTAACAGTAATGATATTTTTGTTGTGATGTAAACGATCGGAGTGGTATTCACTTAAATAACAAATTATTGGTGTTGGAAACTTAAATATATAAGAATTTTGTGGCGTGTAAATGCCATTAAAAGTTACATGTTTTCAATTTCCAACAATATATATGATCTGCGTTTTTTTTTTTTTTTTTTTTTTTTCATGGAAGTTTACTTTTCTCCCTACTTGGAAGTTGGAAAAGAGTGGATTTTAAAATAAGGCACTCTACCCTAGCTCCATCTATCACTGTGTAGTGACATTCGGGCCATGTTAGTTGAACGAGTGAATATTATCAAACAATGATGGTCACATAACAATACTAGATCAACAGAGGCCGGAAAATGATAATCTGGTCACGATAATTGGAAGGTGTTCAGCGTGGGCCGTCAAAGTTTCGTCAAAGTTGGATGTTAAGCAGACTACTTAAAGTCCATCATATTGCTAATGTTAATTCCATTGATGATAAATTGATATTTTATTACTTATCTATCTTAATGATCTTAAAGGAGTAATCTCAAACTCATTAAATTCCTCACATTGAGATGCTCAAATTGACTATTAGCATGTAAAATCATGTGGTCCTTTGATATTCCAATTAATGTCACAAAATTTAAAATCATACTTCAAGCATTTAATTTTTGCTCTTCTAGTCTCATATTAGATCACCTTGAATACATTTGAATATTTAACTCAATTATAAATTTATCAAAATAGAAATTTACATAATCTATCTCATTCAAAATGCAATGGAATTGAAGCTCATTTAAGAGATGTTGTTTGGTGTCATGTGTGCGTAAATGCCTATGTATGTACCTAGCTATAGCAATTGATGGGCCACAAAAGCATGTCACAAAAGTAAAAGGGAGAAAGGGAGCTCTTATAGATTGAAAAAGAAAAGTTTTCAGAAGAGGAATCATAAATATGGAGATTTTTGAAATAAGGAAGTTGTTTTGCTTTTCTCTATAAGAAGAGAGAGGAAGACCCTTCACCTTCAAGTCAACATGCAGATAATGAAGTGTTTAGAACACATTTGTGTACCTGTTTTATCTAATTGAAGAACCGAGAGAGTTGGAGGAAAATTAAGATTTCATTAGGAAATATTCAGTTTTTATTATTATTTTTGTTCGGCTTTTATAATTTCTTTTTTACTTTAAAAATAAATTAAATTATTTTTGAAAGGCAGCTAAGATAACTCTTAATTATTTTTGTTGTTTTCTTAGGTGAATAATCTTCAGACTTCAAGTTATTAAATATATTTTTATTTCATATTATAAATAAGAAAGCTCATAACAATGATGTTGTACGTGGAAAACATGTCAGCACTGGCCCTGACGAGATTTAATGGTCTGGAAAGGAGAAAGTATAACAAAGAAGGGTACGCTGTTAGAAGATCAAGATGTCCACTTATCTAACTGGGTATAACAGTCCGAACCAAAGTGAAGGTCAAAGCTGGCCGGATGTAGCCATACGAGTCAAAGCCACAAGACTAAGAATGTCCAAATGGCCCGAGCCCAAACCCATCAGATTAAGGGTGCGTTTGTTTCTGTTGTGGATGTAGAAAAACGCAGTTTAGAAGCTGTTGTTTAAAATTTATTGTTCATAAACTGGTATTTCATAAGTAGCTGGTCTGTTTAAAAAGCACTGTTTTAAAAGTATTGCATGTTGAGTAATAACTGTAATGCCCCTCAGTATATAAACACAATTATGTTTGAAAAACATAGTTCCGCTTGAATAATATAGCTCTGAAAATGTTGCCTGTGGAATTAATCAAAAGTCAATTTATCAAGTTATTATCGTTGTTAAGTCCATAACAAAATTCAAGTAGAAATACAAACAAAAATTAATGTTCTCAACATAATCATACAAACATACATTCAATATAAGTTGCACCTCAACCAAAAAGACAACTTTGCTTATAGAAAAAAAAACCTAAAGTCGCAATTTAGTTTGTCCTCTAAAATACACAAATATCATCAAAATGGATATATCGTCAACAGCAATAAAAGCAATGCTATGATAACAAAATCAAACAAAAGCAAGACTTTCACAATAAATTTCAAGTCATTCAGATCATTCTTCACCGTATCATCAAATGCATTTATCTTCTCATCACCTCGCTCCTATATTGCATCTCTCTTTTCATAAACCCACCGAAAAATTTTGGAGTCTATATTCATTAATTTTTTTGGACATCTATAAAACTTTCTACCTACATTGTCACCATTATGTCGTGAATGCAATGCACAACATGTTGCAATCACAAATGACTAGTCGATGTTTGCTCCCCTTAGAGTTTGCCGAATTGTTTGAGCTCTTTTGTCATAAACTAATTATGTAATTATACATAACATGAATTGAAGGAATATGAGCTGAAAAAATCTTGGAAAG